ACCGATCACTTTGAAATTTTGACCATATTTTAAGCACTACAAGACACAGGATTAAGTGAAATATAAATGTTATACGTTTATTTTCAAAAAAATTATTAACATTTATAAAAAACCGAAATTTTTTATTTATTTCGCAAGTTCCTAAGAAACAAATAAGGATAGAAACATTTAGAAAACGCCATTTTGAAGGTTTTTATACGATTTATAAGTTTCCTCTCTTGTAAAATTTGTTTAAATTGCTTCACTTTTTGCTGATAGACGAAAAAAGCAAAAATTTTCCGTTTTTTGAGCTTAATTTGTTAATAACTAATTAAGTCCAAAAAATCGACTGCAGGAAACATATAGGTTTTTGTTACAGAGGTCCATACTACTCAAAACAACTGTCGTTTGCCTGGCCGGACGAGTGTCATGAAAAAATGCTTATTTCCCTGGGCTACTATGTTACAATAGAACACGAATATAAATAACTAATTTAAAGTTTAGAATGTTTCACTTACGTCAAGTTTTTAAAAAGTACTTAGGAGAGACTTCATTCTGGTGAAAAAATCCACAATTTTCCTTTAAGCTATTTCTTTTTTAATATTTTGTCAATAATTCGTTTTTGTTATTTTTAATATTTTGTCAATAATTAATAATCTACATCCTGCAATTCATTTTACCTTAGAAGTAGAAAGAAACAACATTATCAACTTTTTAGACCTAACTATCAAAAAGAATGCTTCCTCCTCTTCTTCTTTGTCTACACTAGAATTTTCAATTTTCAGAAAACCTACTCAAACTGACCATATGATTCCAACATCCTCAAATCACCCTTTTCAACACAAGATGGCAGCTATTCAATGTTATGTCCACAGACTTCTTAATATCCTTATATCTCAAGAAAATTACAATAAAGAAATCTCCATCATTAAACAGATAGCAAACAACAATGGTTTTATTTCTACTACTGTTGATAGTCATTAGAAAAGTCATTAGAAAATCTATACTTAAAAAGACAATAAACCAAGCTTTTAGTGTTGATAAAAAATCCAACACTACTTCCATATATAGATCCTTATCTTACTTAGGACCAATTTCAAAAAAACATTCAAGAGTACTTGTTAATAAAATCAGTGACTTAAACATCTCCTTTAAAACCAAATATAACATCAAGTCCATCTTCAGCAAGACCAAAGACAAAGTTGACAAACTAAACAGAAGTGGTATTTACAAGCTGTCCTGTGGTGACTGTAATATGACTTATGTAGGTAGAACAATGAGAACTCTGAATCAAAAAATCAAAGAACACCTCAATAACCCAGAAAAAAATCAAACTTTGGATATCACATTAAATTTAATAATCATTCCTTTTCTCCTTGTGAAAACAGTAAAATTTTACACAACATTCCCAATAAAAACTTTAGACTCATGAATTTCTTGGAAGATCTTGAGATAACCAAAGAAATGAAACTAAACCCTGATTGTTGCTTAAACACACAAATCAACCTCAATTGCAATTATAAACCTCTTTTAAATTATTATGGGAGACTTAAGAGGAAGAAGGGTGACCTCATGCAATCTTATTACATTTTTTCATAATTTTATATTTTTAAACAAAAATTCTAAACTTTACTATAAATTTACATTTTGTAATTCATTTGACAAGTTATTCTTAATTGAAACATGAAAATATATTCTTTAAAAAAATTTTTATGCAAATTTCTTACAAATTTCCATCAAGAGATACAATTCTCAATACACTTAAATATCAGATCATGTAACATTAATACCATGTTTCTTCTTTATATTATTATTAAACGATTTGAACATTTGTTTCTTAGGGATGACTGTCAGATTGAACATACATTGACCTTGATCAATGACTTGAGTCAATTTATAAACTAATATCATTCTGTATGATGTGATGAACACATAAGATTTAATTTAAAAGCTTAAAAACTTAATTTTTAGAAAGTCTTTGATGACTATTAGTAATTCCACGAGGTGACGAAGAAAATAGATAAAGCTGTAAAAAACATCGTCCTATTCTTAGACAGAATATTAATGTTACAAAAAACAGCAATAAATATGAATACGAGTATATTACAAGCATATCTACCTACAGACAATGGAGAAGAAGAAATAGAAAAATATTATCATGAATTAGAAAAAGTATTAGCACCTAAAGAAATACCAGTTGAATATTGACGTGGAATATTGTAATGCGAAGCATACACAACAAAATGCTAGAAATATTGAAAGCAGCTGGATTGAACGGTAGAGATTTACGAATAATTACAAATCCATCAAATGGTAAGAATAAAAGTCGAACAAGAACTGTCGGATGAAATAAACATAAAGAGGAGTAAATAAGGCTGTACAGTATCGCCTTTACTCTTTAACTTGCAGTCAGGAAATATTTAAGAAAGCCTTAATGGAAATTTTCAGAATATCATCAACGAAACGAAGCACCTAAATATAAATATCCTTGGAATAAGTGAAATGAGATGGCCAGTATCTGGCAAAGTAACTACAGATCATTAGATTGTATACTATTCAGAAGACAGTTCAAGAGACAAAAATGGTGTAGCAATATTTGTGACGAAGAAAATAGATAAAGCTGTAAAAAACATCGTCCTATTCTCAGACAGAATATTAATGTTACAAAAAGCTAGATTGAACGGTAGAGATTTACGAATAATTACAAATCTATCAAGAGGTAAGAATAAAAGTTGAACAAGAACTGTCGGATGAAATAAACATAAAAAGAGGAGTAGACAAGACTGACACTATCGCCTTTAGTCTTTAACTTGTAGTCAGGAAATATTTAAGAAAGTCTTAATGGAAACAACAGAAGATATTATTGTGAATGTCGTAACCGTAAACAATACTAGATATGCCGACGATACCTTAGTACTGGCTAATTGCGGATAACCTTCCAAATCTGATAAATAAAAGATAACAAACCTGTGATCAGTATGGATTAAAACTCAACGTCAAGAAAACTAAATATATACTAGTTAGCAAACAAAATTATATACAGGATGACGGTATATATAAAAGTGGGAAATGCCGTACTGGACGGAGTAGATAAACTTGTGTATCACAGCAATATCAATAAGAGCTAGAATCTAACCGTAGAAATTAACAGCCGAATAGAACGAGCCTGAGATGCTTTTGTAAAAATGAGGGAAAGTACTTTGCAGTCACGATCTTAGTATTGACCTTCGCGTTCAAATGACATATTGTTGTATCTTTCCGGTGCTACTGTATGGAGTAGAAGCGTGGACTCTAAGTGAGGCTATGATTAAACGCTTGGAAACCTTTGAGATATGGGTGTGCATATGACTATTAAGAAATGAGGAGATCCTTAGACGGCTGAACCAAACAACACAAGTGGTCAATATAATAAAGAGACGCGAGCTGGAATACTTCCGACACATTATGAGACACACTCAAAAATATGAACTTTTGCATCTGAACATTCAGGGAAAATCCAAGGTTAACGTGGTTCTCGTAGAAGAAGAAAATCATGGCTGAAAAGCTAAGACACTGTTAACTTTAGAAAGTATCACTACATGAGCGATGTAACCAATTTGTAACATTAGAGTTAGAAAACCAAATTGTCAGAAATACGTATTTACTGTTGCCTTCCATCGATTTTGTTTTCTGTTTTCCATTTTTGCGAGACGCGTAAATGTGGCAACGAAAACGCAGAAATATGATGATGATGTTAGGCTAATATAATGTAATGAGAACATATGGAGAAGGGGCATTAAAAAATTTAGTTTTTACTTTCGAAAAATAGAAAATTGATGTAGCGACGATCCAAGAGACCTAATAAAAAGAAATTTTCTGTATTTAAGAGGAGAACTACCGATTTTCCAACAGTGGAGATGGTAAAGATTATTGGAAACTGGATTTCTAGTAGGGAAAGAAATACGCCTTCTCAGATTCAGAATTACGTCCCAATCGAGGAAAATATGTCTATTATTAAAAAGTAGAAGCAGTATTTCACAAAAAATCGTACGATTTAAAAATAATTAGTGGCAACTTCAACGGCAAGATCGATAGAGAAAATATTTACAATTATATATCAGATAGAGCAAGTACGAAAACATAAGTTTCAACGGCTGAAGCCTAATAGAATTTGCAATGCATCATAGTATGAATAATGTGTTATGTAGGTATGAAAGGAATTCACAAACGTACTTGGGTGTCCCCATATGGACAAACAGTCAAATTGACTACATATAAATAGAAAATAAAGACATGAAGTCTATAATTAAAGTTTTTCAGAATCGGTTGGCACCAACAGATTTGAATAATAGTTATAAAAGTGATGACGGAAATGAGGTATGGGATAGATTTCATATTTTTTTAAATAATTTCGGAAAAGTTAAATTTGTGGATAGGTATATTGCAAAAAATTACTCAATGTATTATAGAATTAAATAATAGTTAAAATAACCGACATAATCACAAACCATCCACAAGATTTTTATCAAGACATTATTTTAATTAGGTCTCATTATTCATACAGGGTTCGAAATTACTTAAACACAATTTTTCCCGGACGATGGATTCGACCACGTGACGCATATAATGGCCAGAGTTACTAAAAGTTCAAGGTATATCAGACAAATACATAAAACATTGCTGATTTACATAAGAGAGTTGTATATGTTGGAAGAAACAAAAAATACTTTATATTATTGTCAACAGGTGAATGAGAAGTATTTTGAAGGCCTAATAAACTAAAATTATGAGTTTTTGTGCGACTGTCACCTGATGAATACCGAAACTGTTATACCGTTAGATAGTAAAAGTTTAAAATCGAAGTGTCGAAAAAATTTTGCTTGATCTTTAAAATAAACGATAGTTTTAAGAAAAAAACAGTTTTGTGAAAATTAACTTGTCATTTTCGTTTAGTTCAAATAAATGCGTAGGAAAATATGTATCACCAAATAAACAGCACGTAACACATAAAAAAATAGTACAATAAATACATTGATACTTACTTTCTCTATAAACATATTTCTTAAAAATAACTCCTGATCTTCAGAATTATCAGGCACTTCTTCCAGCGGTATTCTTTGGAAGTAAATATGAGCGGTTGTCGGCTTTCCTAGTAACATAGTAGTAATTGTTGGTTTATAGGGGGCATCTTCTCTAAACGCAACTTCAATATTGTAAATGGCAGGAACTTTGCCTTTCATCGATGGGAGACTAGCAATGAACCCTTTTGTCCTGGGCAATAGATGGTACTTTAGTTGTGGTAAATTATGTTTGGCTGCAAATTCGACGGATGCTTCATGTTTTTTCTTGGTAAATCGAGTACCTTCGGGAAAGAGTAGTAGCTGTAATAAGAATACCTATATTTAATACATACATATACCGATTGTGGCTAATATGTTTACTAAGTAAATTGTAAAACAGTAAATGTAGATTATGTTATGATATCTATGACAATGCCTTAATTGTTTATATGTATATCGAGTTAAAAAGATACGTGGTACATACAGTAGGCGGTACTGTATAATAGGGCGAAGTTTCATGTTTCCGTATTTTTAAATTATAAATAATATTTTTAAAATTGAATAAAGTAATTTTATTATTTACTTACTATTATTTTTAATTTTACCATTTTTTTAAAAGCATCGGTTTACAAAGTTTATTTATTTATTTAAACAATTTTTTACACATTAGAAAGTACCTAAAAGCGCTGTTATTTAATATCCTTGTTATACATGTTGTATAACGGGCGCCCTCATCTCGAAAATAATATTTCCTACTATTTGAAGAAGAACAGAGTTTTAAAGAAAAACAAAATAGAGACTATATTTAACACCAACATGAAATTCTACCATCATATTCAATTGTATATTTTTTGGATAACTATCTTAGATCTTTGAAAATGTTGTTAAAATATTTTCTTGGCCTAGATTTAATAGTGATAATTACAATTCACGTTATCTATAAAAACTGATAATGACAAATCACGTTACGTATAAAGATTGAACTTTATAAACTTTCTCAAAATATATCCCCCAAATGTCGATAGTTGTTTAATTAGGCATTCATTATCAAATTCAAGTAATATATTTTAGCATGTATATTATTATCTCTAAAGTCATCAGCGTATTCTACCAGTCCTTAAGAGCAGAAATCTTAACTCACACCAAAACATCAGCGTAAAAATAGAAGACACAACGTAAACTGGTGAGATCAATGCTTGGAATAAGCTTGAGAAATAGACTAAGAACGAGGAAGTTCGTAGACGAATCGGGGTGGAAGATATTATGGAATATACTACAATTCAAAAATGGAGATGTTGCAAGAATGCAACATTCTTGCAATCAAATTGCAATCAATTGGATAGCAGAGGCGCAGAAAAAAATAGATGGAAATATCTAAAGATGGCATATTATCAACAATGGATAAATATGGGCTACCAAAAAACTTAAAAACAGAATATTTAAGCAGAATTAGTAGGAATAATTATTTGTCGCATGTTTTTAATTTTACGTGTGTACTCTGTAAACCACAGCCCCGATCAAAAGCTAATAATCTCTAGAATTAAAAAAATCGAAATATCTAAAATAATTCATGAAGATAAATCAACAAAAAACAAGAAAATTGGTATTAAAAAATTAATTTATATTAATTTAATTAATTATATACATATTATGGATTAGTAACATTTTCATTGAAATATGAACTTCGAAAACAGAATGTAAATAAATATAATCTCAAAAAATTCCTTCTCATAAACCAGTGAGCAAGGTTTTTGTTTTGTCTATATTATTATCTTTAGTATTTATAATTTGAAATGATATCAGTAAACTTATAAGTTTGTATTTAAAAATTATATTTATAAACTTAAACTATAAACACACCAAATTATTAACAAATTTCAGAAAATAATATTTTTAAATATTATTTTTCTTCTGTTTAGTTGATTAGTCTTCTTCTTCTGCTTTTTATATAGACATGCCTCTGTCTCTTTTTCAATGTGCCTCCAGTAAGTTGTCATTCCATCGTTTTCGTGGTCTTCCTACTGATCATCTTCCTATTGGGGAAAGCCTCTTGCCGTCTTTACTACTCTATTTGTTGTCATTCGGCTTATATGATCGTTCCATTCTACTCTTCTATTTCTTACCCAGTTTTTGATGTTCTCCACCTTGCATCTATGTCGTATATCTGTACTTCTAGCTCTGTCCCATGGTGTCTTACCATAAATTTTTCTAAGTGTTTTCATCTCTGCTGTTTCTAACATCCTTTTTATTCTTTATGTCAGGTCTTGTTTCTGTCGCGTATGTTATTATGGGTCTAATGACTGTTTTGTAAATTCTGCCTTTCGTTTCTTTCCCGATATTTTTATTTCTCCATATTGTTTCATTTAGGCAGCCTGCGGCTCTGTTTGCTCTATTCACTTGATCTTCCACTTCGGTTTCGAGCTTTCCGTAGCTAGATAATGTGATGCCTAGATATTTAAATTCCATCACTTGTTCTATTATCTGACCTTGCAGATCCAATTTACATCTTAGTAAATTTGCTGTTGTAACCATGCATTTTGTCTTTGTTGGGAAAATGAACATGTTAAATTTTCTGGCAGTTATATTAAATTGTTGCAGCATACGTTGTAAATCATCTTCACTTTAAGTGAATAGTATTGCGTCGTCTGCATAGCAGATTATTTTAAGTTGTTTTTCTCCCATTTGGTATCCTTTTTTAGTTCTTACTTTTTTATTATTTCATCCATAATCAGGTTGAACAATAGAGGACTCAGGAAATCTGCCTGTCTTATCCCATTGCCAGGTTCAAGGGTCGGTTAGTTCTTCTTCTACTTTTACTTTTATTGTGTTTGTTGTGTTTTGATAGATATTTTCGATCGTTTTAATTATTCCTAGAGGTATCTTTCTTGCATACACTAAGTGGATAACGTCTTTTAATTTTTGACCCGTCAAATGCCTTTTTAAGGTCCACGAAACATAGATATGCCGGTTTGTTATATTCTAATATTTTCTCTTGCACTTGCCTCATTATAAATATACCGTCGGTGCATGATATTCCCGACCTAAAACCTTGTTGTTCTTCTGCTAGTGTTATAATTTCATTCAATTTATTTATTTTCACTTTGGTTGTTAATTTTAGTGTTGTATTTAATAAATTAATTCCTCTGTAATTTTCCGGGTCCGATTTGTGTCCCTTTTTGAAGAGAGGTAATAGGATACTTGATCTCCATTCTTGAGGAATTCTGTTTTGTTCTATTATTTTTTGGATTCGTTTTAATAGTTGTTTGGTCAGATCTGGTCCTCCGTACTTTAGGAGTTCGTTCGGTATTCTGTCCTCTCCTGGTGATTTTCTATTTTTAATTTCCTTAATGCTTTCTGTACCCTTTCCTCCTCAATATTTATTTCTTCGTTTGTCGCCACCTCTGGTGTTTGTGGTTCATCATCGTCACCTTTAGCAAACAGGGATCGAAAGTAGTCTAGCCCGTGTTTCCTTCTGAATGTGTTTCGGTTTTATCTTTTAGTTCGTTCATCTATTTTCTTCATCCTTCGATAATTCTCCATATTTCTTTTTGTGTTCCGTAGAAATCGTGTTCCATCTGTATTAAAAAACTCTGCCAGTGTTTCTTTTTTATTTGTCTAACTAAATTATTCGTTTCGTTTCTGATACGTTTATAGTGGTTGTATGCTTGTTGGGTTCTGTATTCCAAAAAGGCTTTCTTTTTTTCTTCACATTTCGTCTTCACTTCCTCTCTAAACCATGGGGTTTTCTTTTTTGATATGTTAGTGTTCGTTACTTTCCTCTCTCCAAGTGATTCTGTTGTTGCGTTAATTATATTATTTTTGAGTTTTTCCTAGCTTTCCTCGATGTTATCGTTTTCTAATATTTCATTCCCAGCGATCTTCTCTGCTATTCTTTTCCTGTAAAAGTATTCCGTTGATTCCATATTTAGTCCTTCGACTTTGATTTTTGTTTGTGTTGGCGCCGCTCTCTTGGGTGGGAAGTATTTCAGGATTATTCTTATTTTACATAATACTAGGCTATGGTCGCTACCTACATCTGGTGAGTTGAAACATCTTACGTCGATTAGTTTTGATGGATGTATATCTCTGTTGGTAAGAATATAATCTACCATAGATCTTTGTCCGCAGGTGTTATTAAATATATATTTGTGTTGGTCTTTGTGGTCAAAAAATGTGTTGTTTATTCTTAGTTCGTTATTCGTGCAGAAGTTGATCATCAGTTCTCCATCTTCGTTTTTAACATTCTCGTTATGTTTTTGTTTGATGCTGTATTACTTGATTGCCTATTCGAGCGTAAAAATCTCCCAATATTATCATCTTTCCTCTGACTTGATCTACTACTTGTTGTAATTGGTCGTAAAACGCTTCCCTAGTTGTTTGAGGCTTGTTATTTTCTGGGCCGTATACTCCGATGATGTTCAGGTCTTCCTTCTCCATTCTTATCTTTGCTGTTACTATTCTTTCTGATATGTATTGACACTCTTTGATGTGATTTGGTACCTTTGGTGCATTAGTAAGACTACACCTTTTTGGCCCTGTTTTCTTTTGCTATTCCAGACCTTATCCTTTCTTTTTTGTTTCCTGTAGAGCAAAAATGTATATTTCTTTCTCTTTCAGCACTTGGGCTATTTCTTGGTCCCTTGAGTTGAGTGATCTGATATTCCAAGTAGTAATTCTTATCTGGGTTTTGGATGTTTTTCGCTTCGTCCGTATTTCTTGCCGTAGTCGTCTTCATAGTATCAATACGGTTCTGAGACTGTACATTGTTTCTTTGAGCAGTATTTGTTTTTACGATTGGTAGGTTGCTAACCTTGCCGATCACCCTCCTAATTTTATCCGGGCTTGGGACCGGCTGTGATAACCGCAGAGCTACTCAATCCATCCCGCAATCACCCCAGGCAGTGTTTAGTTGATTGGTGAAATATTTAATTATAATGTCTTCGTGTGTTTTCTATTGAAAAATCAAGTGGTGTACGTTGTGGTGCTTTTACGTTCAGAAAGTAATTTTATAATACACGCTGCTGAATAGACTTACTGAGAGAGAATTATGTATTTAAAATATTTTCTTAGACATTATAGTGCATAGTTCACTATTATTTTCTTATTAATGAATGTTAATTAATATTTTGTGCAGTCTCTATTTTAAACATGTTTAAATCGAAATGAATTAGCTAAATAGTAGTTTTTTTGTTCTATTAGCGTATTTAACTGCATATTTGTTTAATTTTTAACACAGTTTTCATGTTTCTTATGATATATACCTTTATTGATATTTGACTCTATTTGATTATTTTATTTGATTACTTTGCGATATTTATGAT